GGGGATGAGGACATTAAGGAGAATGTTGTTTAGTACTTCTCTAAATTATTTGAGTATCATGACACATCAGGCTCTATTGATGCCTCTTTATTTGATGATGTTCTTAATCATATGGGGGATATCGACCTTTGTGGCATTCCAACGGCTGAGGAAATTTACTCTATCCTTCTTGACATTAACTGTAATAAAGCTCCGGGACCTGATGGTTTCACTTCTGCTTTCTATATTAAATGTTGGACTATTGTAAAGGATCATGTGGTTTCGGCTATCCAGAGTTTCTTTAGAGGGGAAACCCTTGGCAATTATTTCTCTGCTGCTACTATAGTTCTCATCATTAAGAATACCCAAAAAAGCTTGTGGAATCATTTCAGACCAATCTCTTTAACATCTGTGATTTCTAAGGTGATTAGCAAGATTTTGGTCAACCGCCTACAACCCCACCTACACAAATTAATCTCTTTGAATCAATCTGCTTTTATTCAAGGGAGGGGGATTACTGATAATATTATGCTGGCTCAGGAGCTTATTCTTGATATTGATAAAAAATGTAGAGGAGGCAATATCGTTACTAAACTGGACATTCGCAAGACTTATGATTCTATTAGCTGGGAGTTTATTTTGAATATTCTTAAAGCCCATGGTTTCTCTCTGGAGTTTTGTAAGCTCATATCTTATTGGCTTCATTGCAACAAGTACAACATTCTTATAAATAGCCAATCTCGTGGCGTTTTTAATGTGGGTCGTGGGATTAAACAGGGTGACCATTTATCCCCGACCATTTTTATTCTCATTTTTTATTATCTCTCCAAAATGCTTAATATCCTTTTTAGGCAGAATTCAAAGCTGCAATATTCTCATAAGTCTAATATGATGGTATCTCATTTAGCCTATGCGGATGATATGATTCTTTTCTCTAATGCAAGCAAGTCCACGGTGAAGGAGATTCATAAGTTAATGGTTGATTTTAAGTCTGTTTTCGGCTTCTCTTTTAATGCTAGTAAATGCTACATATATTTGGGGAACACAATTAACCGTTCTAATACTTCCTGGATGGCTAATTATACGGGTTTCTCCCTCTCTACCATTCCACTTAAATATTTAGGGGTCTTTCTTCTTAAGGGCCGAAAAAGATGGATACAGTTTGACGAGGTTATAGAGAAGATTCGGAAAAGAATCTTGGACTGGAAAAATAATTTCCTATCCTTTGGAGGTCATATTACACTGCTTAGGAGCATCTTTCATTCTCTTCCGCTTTACACTCTTCACGTGCTCCAACCCAAGAAAAGTACTATTTTGAATCTTGAAAGGTGCTTTAATAAGTTTCTTTGGATGAGAAATCACTTTGGTAGAAGTTGGCTACCTTGGAAGGATGTTTGCAAACCTTTTAACGCTGGGGGTTTGGCTTTTAAATCCTTCCAACATATCGCTGATATTAATGTCTTTAAGCAATGATTTAATTTCAGGAAAAATGAGTCCTTATGGGCCAATTTCATGCATGGGAAATATTACCGCTTCTCTCATCCTGCTTTCATCACTTGGAGGCTTGGTAACTCCACCATGTGGAAGAGAATGCTTTTGGTTAGAGCCTGGGCGAAGAATTTCATTGGGATGTGGGTTCTGGAAATCTCTTCTTCTGGCATGACTGTTCGTCACATGTCTCTCTTCATTTGAGGGATACTACGTTTTCCAATCTCAAAGTGTCCGACACTTGGGTGGATGACCATTGGAATTTTCCTCTTCTTACTACTTTATTGGGGATGGAGGGAGCCACCTACATTTCCAACATTCCTATTGATCCTCATATGCATGATACTCCTGTGTTGAAATTACCCTTGGCTAGCTCTATTACCAAATCTATTTATGTTTCTTGGTATAGCTTTCGTAACACCCCTTGGGGTCAAGATGTGTGGAGTTGGGCTTTAACTACGTCAATGTCTTTTTTGGCTTGGCGCATATTTCACATAACTTTACCTTGTGATGACATCCTGAAAGGTTTGAGAATTGTCTCCAGCTGTTGCTTGTGTAATTCGGCGGAGGAAACTCTTGAGCATATCTTCTTTTTGTGACCTTTTTCTTTATACGTTTGGAAAAGGGCCGATTTGTGGTTTGGTAACATTATGACTCCGGCGAGGAACCTTTTGCTTACCTCTTTAAGGTGCAATCCGAAAATTAAGAGGAAAAACTTTTGGCAAATCTATCCTTATATTATTTGTTGATTCATATGGATGGCAAGGAATGACACTATTCATGAAGAAAATGTGATTCATAATACTATGGTTTTCTCAAATATCATCTCTTACATTAATAAATTACGGAGATTGGGGAATTCCAAAAATGGTTTCTTTTCAGGCATCAATTATTTTCTTGCTTTGGGGCATACGAATTTGGAAGGGAGGAGGCCCCTTCATCCTCCTATTTTAGTAAAATGGTCTCTACCTCCTACAGGTTGGTTTAAAATTAATACTGATGGAAGTTGGAATGTCTCTGAAGCTGGTTGTGGGGGCATTGTTAGGAATTATGTGGGGGAATGCATTCTTTTTTTCTCATCTCCTTTTAATGTGGATTCTCCTATAGAGGTGGAAGCTCGGGCTATTTTAAACAGTGCTATTTTGGCTCACTATTTAAGTTGGAGGAACATCATTTTTGAATGTGATAATCGTACCTTAACTGACATTTTAGATAATGGTGTCGATTCCCCTTGGGATATTCTTTATCATATTAGGAGGATTAAAGGGTTACTATCTAATGTGAATGTTATTTGGAGTATCAATTACCGGGAAGGCAATCAACCCGCTAATTGGCTCGCTAAAGTAGGAAGTTCTACTCGAACTTGTAGAGTGGGATCTACTCCCCCTCCTCCTTTACATACTCTCTTGGTTGGTGATAATATCGATGCTCCTTATATTCGCATGATTGCTTCTTTTTAAGTCTCATTGGGTGGTCGTGATTTTGTGCTCGGCCCTTCCTATTTCCTCTACCCTTTTCTTTTTCCTATGCACTTTGAAGACTTGGAGTTTGCAGTTTATGGGCACTATACTACTCTGTTATACTTTAATTGGTGCAAGGTGATCCAGGATACCTCCACCATTTATTCTCGGGGATATAAGGGAGGCCCATGGCTCCCTTTTTGGAAGCTCATTTACAGATACCTCTTTTGGTGTATTTCGATGTGCGAGGAGGCCCAGGGCTCCTTTGCTTTGGTTTAGAGGTGTTTTGGGATTATTGTTATCAGAAGTATGGAGTATGGGAGGCACTATTTTTGGTTTGCTTTGATGGTTTTATTGGAGGTTTGGAGGCTGGATATTTTTAAAGGACAATATCTCTTATATTTGGAGGCCCACGACTCCAAAATCCTTTGCCAATATTTTTGTTTGGGTGGGTTGTATTGGTTCAAGTTGCTGGATTTTGGTGGTAGATTTGCGGGGTGCTTCTCTTGCCTCAGGTTGTCTGTTTTTGCTGTTTAGATTTTTGGAGGAACTTGGACCACTATGATTTTTCTTCCCATTTACACTAACCAATGTCTTTATGTTTCAGCCCTTCTGAGTTGCAGTTTTTTGGATGTTACTTCGCCGGATCCCTGCACTCATGAAGTCGCTCTTCGGCTTACAAGTTTCTTACCTTGTTGCTTTTCTTATACATGTACATTTTGGGTATACGTCATTTATTTGGGTATACGTTTTAGTTTGATACATGTATTTTTAGGCTTTATTTTCTTTTGAATACGTTTTTATCCTTTTTTGGGTGGAGTTGTAATGAGGAAAACAACACCCCTAGGATTATTTTCTAGAGGGGATCCTGGTTTTTCCCAAAAAAATTTTGTAGTCGTTTTTTTTGAAATTAACACGTAAGGAGCCACGAGCTGCTCTTTCTATAATATATATATATATATAAAAACTCAGAACAACCATTCATTATGAGCTTGCAAATTAAACAAAGAAACTAAACCTAAACTTATCAAAGATATGAATAGAGCTATTCACGAACAACATTTACTGAAATTCCTAACAAAGATAGTACAATGGCAATATATGAATTATTTTATTAACTCATTCTTCAATTGTAGAACCCAAACTTCGATGAGTTTGTTGGAACCAATGTTTCCATTCGAGGAAACATTTCTTCTCAACAAAATTTGGAAATTTCAAATGATCTACACAATAACCAGCGAAGGTGAGGACGATTCCGTGGAGAGGAGAATTGAAGCAAAGAGACGACAGTTTGAGAATAAGAAGCAAACATCCGTTAGAGAGATTGATAAATGAATATTGAGCATGTTGGTTAACACGAAATCTCATAAATTTGATCCAAAATACTTCAAACATGACCAATTATATGATTTTTAGAAGCGGGCAGTGCATACATCCATAATTAAAAATTTAGAGACATCCAAACAGGTGCAACAGTTATTTGAAAAATATTTAGGGGAGATCTGGATAAAAATTAGAAATATATTTATAAGAAAAGAACATTCTACATTTGTTATTTCTTCCAAAATTTTTTGTGATGAAATCTGCATGACCTGTGTAACAGTTGTGCCAACTCACTGGCTCTGTTCATGAATTCATGTACGGGTCGCTTTCAGTCTGAGTTCAAACTCATTCAAAACACTCATGTTTAGCTTGACTCAAAGTGGGCTGGAAATCAAAGAAAGAGTATTTTGCGTTGAGTGAATTTGATTCAATATGATTTGATTTTGAGCCAAATCAAAAAGAATATGAACAAGCTATGGAGTATTGAACTTCAAAACTTTTTTAAATTAAATAAATCAACTCCAATCATTTTCAAGCAACTTATAAGCTCAAAATCAACATAAAAGTAAACCAGGAGTCAAAATTGTCCTGTAAGTCAACTCAAAATTCTGATAGACTCAAAAATGAAACAGTTTTTGAGTTGAAGAATTCATCTTGAGAAGAGGTCGGGTGTCTACAAACTGCAGAAACATATTCAAGCAAAGCCTGAAATTGTTAATGCATTATATGATCATTGCACTGAGTCTGAATCTATTATAAAAAACTTGTATTTGGACTAGACAATATTTGGCACCAGAGTTGCATAAAAACAACAATCAAAACAGAGAAGCTTTTTTAGAAAGGCCCCGAAACATTACAACAAAACTACATTCATGGAAGCTTTACAGAGATTAAGAAAATCATGCCAGCAACAACCCTGAACAAAAAAGCGAAAAACACAACTATACAAAGCCTAACTTTCCATATGTATACTGGTATATGTGTAGGCATTCATCAAAACACTAAAGTACAAGATTTTTGTTGCCTATTATTTCAGCTGCATTATCGAATAGAGCCATATGACCGATTTCCAGCAATTCCTTTCATGGAAGTATAGTCTTGGATCAATAGAGAATGAATTTCATGCCATGCTTCAAGAATATAATGCAGAAATTCAGCACCAATTCATTGCCACTTAGAAGAGAACAATATAAGCTTGAACCTTAAAAGTAATTTCATGCAGTATCATTGCCATTGTCTTTGTAATTGACCAAATATATACCAACCAGTGTCACTACTGCACCACCTAATTGTGAAGGAGAGAATGTCTCCCCCAGGTAGAGAAACCTGAATTCAATTAATGTCCTTAGGTTCAAGATGGATGAAATTTATTGTCTGAATCAATTAAAATCCACAAAAACATCTAAAAGCATAGCAATCAGAACCAATAATAAACAATATTTTCATGTTACAGAACATACCTAAAAAATAAGAGCTCCTTGTGAAGCTTAAGAAATGCTTGAAAATAATATTAAGAACAAAAATGAAATTCACATACCCAAAAATAGAGGCAAACACTGGAGTTAGAAATGTGAAGGAGCTGAGCTTTGTCAAGCTACCTGCAAGAAAATACAAACAAAAAGAAATTTACTTGCGAGCAAGATAAATAACCAATTTATGTATATCAATGTATTAGGAGAGAAAAATACGACCTCTAGTAGCATTGTAGAAAAATACACCATAGCTGATGGCACTTCCAAATATTGAAGTGTATAGAAGAGCCCAAATATCATCAGATGTTAGATCCTTTAAATTCCCGCTTATAGCAGGATCATGATTCAGAACTGAAATAACTAGCAAAGGCAGCCCACCTATGATCATGTGCTGTGCCAATGTAAATATTTCCTTATCAGTTACTTTGTAATGAATGATGTTTAACCAATAAACCACCAGCATAAAAACGAAGAAAAGAAAATGGAAAGTCACATAAAATTATTGAAGCCTTATAATATAAGGATTGAATTACATAACTTTTCATTTTGACATTCTGATCCAACAAAATTACAAACAGTGGTGTCTAACTACGTATCCTAAGAATATTTTGTAAAAAGCCATTAAAATGCATAGAAAGGAAGACTTAGGGTCTGTTTGGGGCAACTTATAAGTGCGCCGCTTCACCGTTTGAAAAACATGTTTCGGCAGCTTATCCTAAAACACGGTTGGGTTTTTACTCTAAACGCAGGTCGCAGGTCAACCCCCGCGGGCCGCGTTTCAGGATAAGCTGCTTATCTGGATAAGCATAAGCTGCCCCCAAACACACCCTTAATCAAACCACCTAATCAAACTTAACGTAAGAAAAGAGAATTTCATTCTTATAGGAAACAAAGCCAGATTAACAAATGATATTGCCCTCTGGGCATGCTCAACAACACAGTAATAACCAGTCAGTTCGGGATTTGCATGTTAAGGCAAGCAGACAGTTGCGCTAATAATTTACTCATATCAAATAAGTAGACTAGTGAAGCATAACACTTTGCTGATCATTTTAGCACTTCTGGAACAGATCATTTCTAAAGATACTTAATACTCCAAGCAGATTTTCTGCCAGGTTTACTTTTATAATGGATTCTGTTAGCAGAAAAAGTGAAGGGGAAGGGAAGATGATTGGGATCTCTTTTCTCATGTCCTCTACAAACCTTGAAAGATTGCTATCTAAATGATAGAAAACGTCATTTGAAGAAAAATATGCTGCCCGAGAGGTAAGAATATTACCTAAAAAAGAATCTAACAATTCAGATGAAAATAATCTTTAAGATTTGGGGGTCTTCGTAACCAAAGATTATTATCTAACCTTACATGTGTAAGGTAGGGTTGATTTTATGATGGTGTCTGTTATCCTTATGAGAATAAATCCTCGTAGTTACTTCCATCCTTGGAGTTTTAGCTCCCTCTCGATTATAGGATTGTCATATCAAACATGATTATAAGGTAAGTGTCTTGAAGATTGATGTTTCTAGACCTCAGATCGATGGATGTGTTTGAAAAAGATTTGATGGCAATTAAAAAGTTAGGACTTACAGTCCAATGACAAAATCTCAAGGAAAGACCAAGGAAAATGATTGGACAACCATGAGAAGAAGACAAGCCATTGAAATTAAAATTGTGAATTTGTTAAAATAATGATAATTTTGATTTTGTTGGATTTCGGAAATTAGATTTGATTTGAAAATGTTTAATTTGGACTTGATTGTTTGGATAGGGTTTGACTTGGGATTGATATGTTTGAAAGAGTTTGATTTGGATTGAAAAGATTTTGGTTTGGGATTGGATTCATTTGAGCTGAAAACTTGAGTTGGTTGGATTTGATTTAAATTTATTAATTTGAGTAAAAGAAGGTTTATTTTGAACAAGGTTTGTTGGTTTACAAGTTGTTTAAAGGTTGTTAAGGATTGCTTGAGGGTTGTTAAAACTAATTTATGAAGGTTTGTTTGAATTTATAGGTATTATATTTTGTTTAAAATTATCTGAAATTTGTTTGAATTTTAACATCATGTTGAAGTTTATTTAAATATTTTAAATTTTGAAGTTGAAATATTTGGTTTTGAAGTTTTAAGTTTTGAAGTATTAAAAGTTTAAGTTTTGAAGTTCTAAAGTTTTTATAGTTCTAAAAGTTTTGTTTTAATTTTTTTAGGTTTTTCATGTTTTTATTTTTTGAGTTTTGAAGGTGTTAAAAGTTAAAAGCTTTAAGTTTTGAAGTTTTTGAAGGTTTAAAAATTTTAAGTCTTGTGTTTTGAAGGATTTAAAAGTTTTAAAGTGTGTTTTGTTTGAAAATTTAAATTTAGAAAAAGATTTTGAAATTTGAATTAATTTTAGAGTTTGCAAAGTTTAGGGTTTTGAAAAGGTTTTAAAGTTTTAAAAGTTTTGAAAAAGGGTGGTTTTAGAGTCTTTGCGCTTGAAAATTTATAGTTTTGGAAAGGTATTGTATGAAAGTCATGAAAATGTTAGTTTTAAATTAAAAGAATTTGGTTAAGATCCAAAAGGTTTGATTCAAATTGGAAAAAGGGTTTACTCAGGTTGAAAATGTTGATTTGCATTGATTGATTTGGATTGAAAAGGGATGGACTAGAAAAGTTAACATAAAGGATTTGAATCCTAAATTAGGGAACATGATAAGGTATAAGGATTTCTAAATGAGAGTGAAACATTAATCTTAAAATAAATCTAGATTCTACGAGGATAGAAAGTGGACTAGCTTAATTTTTTTGGAATAATGTCTCCAGTCAAAATGCTCATGACTTTCCATCATCCAAGCACATTAGGATTCTTAAACTATTAACCAACCAGACAATAAGAGATATTCATTATTATCATAGTGATGGAGAATATAGAATTTCTTACTATTAGGTGGTTCGAGATGTCTTTGTCAGTAACTATGGGTTACTTCCTAGGGCACCTACATAATCAAAAAGGGCTAACGTTATTTGTTTTATATGTCCAAATTTTTAGCCTAACTAGGAGTATCTAGTAATCTAACTTAGACTTCTAAACTTAACTATTCTAAGGTGTGACTGAGTGATCCTGGGTTTTGTTTCTAAATTAACTAACCTAGAGTTCATAATTGATCTACCTAGTGGTGATTACAATGATTTAAGTTTATGAATTTTAGTTTTTGGGGTTTGATATTTCATGCGAGATTTGTTTCCACTCCTGGTTTGTCAGTCATTGTGAGAATCATGGTCTTCTAGGTTTAGCTTTTAATAGTTGATTTTCTATCCTAAGTTAGTATTTTCCATTGATTTTCACTCAAGTTTGACTTCTAATATATTATTTACTCTTCTATATTGAAACTTAAATGCCAAAGAGGTATGTTATTTAAGTCTTCCACATTTAGAGTCTTCACACTTAAGTTTCATTCACATACTTCATTTCCCAAAGTTTTTATTTTCACACATATGAAAATATATTTTTGAAAAATATTTTTGTCACACACAAAAATACTATTAAGCATGTGAGTGAATCTAATGTGAGAAATATGTAAATATGAAATTGCTCAAGACTTATATATTTAAGAGTTAAGCTTGTAAATCACATGTTTTTAAAAGAAAACATATCCATTTATAGGTCAAACTAATAAACATGTTTAAGTCTTGTATTAGTTGACAATTCACGAGAGATTTGCAAAGTCATAAAATTTTGGTATGATAATTTATACAATTGGTGAGCTCACAAGATGATATAGAAAAGAGTTGTGTTTAGGCTTGTTTTCATTAGTTTGAAAAAGCTTTTTTTAAGTTTCATAGAAAGTTTTACTTTGTTTATTTAGGTTTTTAAGAGATTTCCTTAAGTTTCATTTTAAAATATCTAAGTTAAGTTTTATTTTAAAAATGTTTTGTTTTGTTAAAGGTTTTGTTTTGTTTTTGGAAATTTTTGTTTTTATTTAGTTTAAGGATTAATCCATTTAGGATTTACATTGAGAAGGTATGAATTTGAGTTTTACCTCGGAAAAGTTCAATTTGAATTTTAAAGAAGTTTAACTTTTTCTTTAAAAGGTTAAACTTTCTCTTGAAAATATTTTATTTAAATTCTATAAAAAGGTTTATTTGGGTTTGAAAAGATTTTTATTCTTATTTTTTATTTAATTTTCCCTTCGAAAATGTTTTCCATGACTTTTCTTTTTGAATATTTCACTTTAAAAAGTTTTAATTTTGGTTTTAAAAATGTCTTTATTTAGAAAATATTTAAAGTTTTCTTTTTTATCATGGAAAGTTTTGTTAAAAATTTATTTTAGAAAGTGTTATTTGGGTTCACAAATATCTTTATTCATTAAGAAACTTACTCCACCTTAAAAGAAAAATTAAGTTTTGATCAATTTAAACTTTTTAGAAAATAAGCTTATGAGAATATTTTGAATTAGAACACATGGACTTACATTATATTTTTACCCTCTTTTTAGAGTTCATCTTTAAACTTTATAAAATCTTTTGACTTAGACCATATTTAGATTTACATGAGTTTTTATAGGAAAAGAAAGAGTTAATGATAATAATTATAGAAAAAGAAAGAGCTAATGATAATAATTATTTCTTTCCAATGCGTAGCTTACACTAGTACAATTATGTAAATTTTTGCAAAAAATTTTTTTCTAACAAACGTATAAAAATAATCATTCCTAGGCATGTATGTCAAACAAAGAGTTTTGCTTAAAACGTAAGGTCCCAATTTGTATTTTTTGGCATGGAAACATGAAAAATTCTAACTTCTATGTTTAGATGAGGCAATATCACTGGCACATGAGATATGAAACTAACATATGAAATTTTTGTTTTGAGACATGGAACTAAACACTTAGAATTTTTATTTTAGGCATAAAAATAAACAGATAAATTTTTCTTTCGACATGAGACTATCGAATGAGTTTTCTATCACAATAGATATAGAGCTAACACATGCGGATTTATTTTTCCTTTTACATGAGATGGACACATTATCACATGAATTTCTTTTTGCACGAAACATGACAAAGAACTAAAGCAAAGATTCAAGCCATGAACTAATGTTAAGATTCATGTCATGAGAAATAAATAGATGTTTGGGTAATGAGATCGTTCAGTTAAGTGAGGGAGAGAAAGATGCAGTGGAGGTTAAGCTAGGAATTCGACTTGGGTGAGGAAGAGAAGTTTAGGGTTTCAACTAGGATGAAGAAGGGTTGATTTAGGGTTTCGACTGGGGTATGGAGAGGGAAGTGTGGGGTTTCAGCTAGGGTATGGAGGGAGAAGTGTGGGGTTTCGGCTCATGTATGGACGGGGAAGTGTTGGTTTTCAGCTAGGGTAGGGAAGAGGAAGTGGCTCTCCCGCGTTGAGGTGAATCATACTTAGCAGTCTCAT